GGCGGATCGCCACCTGCGAAATATAAACCATACAGAATAACCCCCAAGACCTGGGACTTGAGGTTGGAGGCTCGAGAGAGCTGAAGCTACCACGAAAACAAGTGTTGTACGTTCCCTAGTTGTTCCACTGGCCGCTTGTGTTGCACATTTCACTCAAACACGAGGATGCCGCAACTTGGAGATCCCATTCGAATCGTTACGGGCTACATCATACCTGCCTTCCAAAGACGAAGTGTACTAGTTACACATAACACGGTGCGCGCAGAACTTGACCTGCACACAATTCGAGGGAGAGAAGGAGTCCACAGTACCACATTTTTTCCAAGACACAAACATTACAGTTCTACAAATGGACCAAAATAATAGAACGCACAGTTCCCCAATTTGCAAAAAAGGGGGGTCTCTGTTGCCACTAACCGGAAGGAAGCCCTGAAGAATTTCGGTTCGGCTCTCGGGCTTGCGTCTCGTCGAGAAACGTTAAAAGTCAATTCAATAGGGGAACAGCCCGTCTGTGGGCGCACGGGAATCTACAAAAACAATTATGTTCTGCTTTTCCCGACTCTCCTCGCCAACGCGACATCATGGGGGCAAGGGGGGGTATCAAGATATAAATAAAGTAGCTGATTCCACACGTGATAAAACCGCAGCGTAAAAGCTCGAAATAAACAAGACACGGTCTTTCCGGGACTGAATCACTAATATTACAAAAAACTTACCCCGCCTAGTTAGATCAGTAGTAAAACCGTGATGGTTTCGCCGACAAAACTGAATCCATCCCGAGATCTAACTAACCAACAAGCAGCGCACGACTTTAAACTCAAAGGAGCACGAGAGATATCGCACACGCCCGAGACTGACTTTCGGGGCTCCAATGATGCACAGCCAAGAGGCGAACGGTACCGAAAAGGTCGGAGTTGGATAAATCTCGTCGAGAGCCTTTCCTTGCACGTACCGGCCGTTTTTCGTCCTCGCGCCGTCTTTAGGCTTCACGGCGACCAAGCTGCCAAAATGCAAAACGAAGCCTAGGGTGTGTGTGCGATGACTCGGACTGACTAGATGCGGCAATCCTACACACACCAGGGTTGGTTGTTTTCTCCGACGTGACCAACCGCGAAACACCAACAACGTAAAATCATAAAAAAAACGCGAGACAAATGGAGACACACCCTAACTCTCCCATGCTCGTCGCGTGGGCGACTGACGTGGCGTAGCGTGCGGCCTCCTGTAGCGGCAGCAGCGATACTACTAATAATGCCGCCGACCATCCCGTCAAGCCGACTACAACCAAGGTCTTCGCCACACCGAATTGAATCTCGCCGTGGGTGCAAAACGATTGCACACACGAGACACAACACCTCCGATCTTATCACGGCACAGCCTACTTTCCACCCCGAAAAATACAAGGCGGCACAAGGGCCACCTGTAAAAGTAAAACGAAACAACATGTATGGGGAAAACAAAGCCAGTGTTTCAAGGGTAATACTAGTCCATGTCCACAATCTAAAACGCTTTAGGTTGAGACCACGTAGCTCCTCTCTCATAGGTGCACGCATGGCACGGCGTGGCACGGCACGGCACAGTTGGCACAGATAGACACGGCACGATACGGTACGGTTGAGGCACGGTACGGTATAGCGTGGTACGGTGCGGTGCGGTATGGCGTGGCACGGCACAGCACGGCACGGCACGGCAAGGTGCGGTGGAACATGCTGCTGGCTGTGCCTAGCTGGTCGACAGCGGCTCTGACTGCCGCCAAGGTCGACCCGATCGTGGCCTGCTACAAGCTACGAGCCATGTTACTCCACACCTCGCCAGCGGACTCGACAGGCTGTAGGTCCGCGACACCGCCACGCGACCCGGCCACCGGTCCTCTAGCTTTTGGTCAGGCACACACCCGTCCCAGCATCATCATTCCGCCTTGGCGCTATCATCTAAAGACTCTGGTGCCACCGCGGGCGCCTGTGTGCCGGGTACTCCACCTAGTGTCGGGACGGCCACCCCTGCTGCTGCTGCTGCTGCTGCTGCTGCTGCTGCTGCTGGCGCTGGTGGTGTTGCTGCTGTTCCTGCTCCGGCAGCACCGGAACCCGCGACAGGGTGGACCACCCCACCCGGCGCGTTGCTCCCTCTCTCCGTCCCTCCCGCGTCCTCTCCGTTGGCCGCCGTCGAAACTCTCGAAGCAGCAGCACCGGCGCTAGCGGCAGCAGCGGGAGGAGCGGCGGCGCCACCAACCCCTTGCTGTCGCTTGAACAGCTTGTTGGATGAGGAGGCCCTCACTACCAGCGCCCTTCTACCCAGCTGCGGAGAGCGGGGCGGGGGGACGGGGACGAGAGAACCCGTCGAGGACCACGACTCGCTTTCCCTATCGCCGCCAACGAGGTACATCATCGGATCCGGGTTTAAGTTTAGCCCGCCGCCGCCGCCGCTATCCCGCCGCCGCCGCCGCTGGTGCTGCTCACGGGTAGGGTTACCCCCGTCCCCCCCCGCGCCGCCGCCGCCGCGTCTCCCCGGGAGCCTGCTCAACAAGCCGCTCAGCGAGGGGGCCCGTCGCGTGAAGCCCTGGTCGCTGTCGCCCATGCCGCCGCCGATTCCAACGACCGGACGCCCCTCAGCCATCTCCCGCCGGAACTCCGCCTCCCCCGGCGCTGCCCGTCGACCACCGCCTTCTCGTCCTCCCCCGGCGTCTCCTGTCGCTGGGTTTGGCGGCGCTGCTGCCGCTCCCCCTGCTGCGTCAGGAACCTTCTTTGCTCCTTCGCTGATGCCCTCCATGAGCGTCTTTGACGACGCGCTCAGCTCCTGTTTGTTTTGCGCGGGACCGATGATGCGTGTGAAAAAAAAAAGAAAAAAAAGGGCGGCCGGCCGGCCGGCCGGAAGGGGCGGACGTGGGCGGGCGGTTGGTTGCATGGATGCCTTGACGAATATAGTATTCCGGACTGAATCCACACACAAACGAACAACGCCCTGCTGACTCCACGCGCGCGCGGATACATAGCACACTCGCAAAACTAAACTTGCAAGGAGGTGATGCAATACCTCCACCGTCTTATTCTTCTTCCGCATGTATGCACGCGCCATTGTTAACATGCCGGGTGGATGAATCCAAGGTTGGTTGTATCATACCACATTCACGGGTGATCGACCGGTGCGCTTGAGCAGTACGTGGTACAGGAGACTACAAAAAAGAACAGCCCGAACGCTAATTGCTACAGCTGCGCCATGGCACCCAATGCACAACCGGCACCAAACAAACATGGTAGATGCGGAGCCACAAAAGAACAACGCAGCAAACCGAGTAAAGATGAAGCAGCAGCAGTTGAATCTCATTTCTTCCACTGAGCACAGCTCTGCAGGCGCGGCCTCGCGGCGGCCACAACAACGACCCCCCCCCCCCCCCCGGGAACCGGCCCGGGGGGAAAAACCCCCCTCCCCCCCTGGGCCACGGGCCAACCCCCAAAGGAAGGAAAAAAAGAAAACCCCCCCCCCCCCCCCCGCCCCCCCAGAGAAAAA